TGGAGTGGTTCCTGAGACTACATGTCTACTAAGCACCAGTGGGTTGCTCATGCTCCTGATCTATAAACCAGTTATACAACCAAGGATCTACTATTAGACATCCAGATTCTGTTAAATTGAGAGCAAGATCATCCAGTATTTGAAGAATGGGAAATACTTAGAATACTTAATATAACAAATTTAATAGGAATCAGAAAAGGTAAAACTTTTAAATTATACTACTATGTTCAGTATGAACTTAATTCTAAAACTTCATGTTTTCTTTGGGTGTTGGATTATTTCCAATAAGTAGTCTTTAATTTTCTTTTAAAGGTATGATTGGAGTGTGAATAAAGAAATCTTTCACAGAGAAGCTTATCAATTTTATGAACAATACAGAGAAAATCAAGTCATATAACCAAAAATTATGTTTTCCTTTTGTCCATGAGTATACATTTCATATCCTTTTTACAATTAAGTGATAAAACCAAGTATATACATTAATATCATCCAAAGATATGTCCTTTTTTAATGGACACATATGAGATAAGGATAAATTATAAAACATTTGGTGATCATGATTTGCATTTTTATCTTAATTAGAAATTATTCAAGGACCCGAGTTCAATCCCCAGTACAAAAAAAGAAATTTTTGAAAATCTAAAAAGTTTTTAACTTTATATTAATCTAAAATCTTAAAGTTAACTCAGAGCCTGAACATTATAAGCTATAGTAAGCAATATAAGCTTTGTGGCATCATAAGAACTAATCCCTTTTTATAATGCTATTATCTATTATAAACTTTGAGAAGAATTTTACAGTTTTGTGCAACACTTTGAAAAGAAATGTAACTGTGAAACCAATGGAGGAAATTAGTTGCTACCTAATTTTTTCCTAAGAAGATAAATTCAAGATTTTCCCAGTTGTATCATCCTAATATCACTTGTACATGGTAATAAAATCTGGACAAAAAGAAATACTACTGTTAAACAAGTGTAGTATTGCCAAAGAACCATCTTAAGTAGGATTATGTGAACTTTTTCTATACAGTTATGTCAAATATTAAAACTTAAGGACCCCCCCCTCCTTCTTTATCCAAATGACCAAGGCCAATATTTAAACTGACAACCTATGTTTTTCCCTGAGTTTACAGCTTTTGGCTAGATAAATTTTTTTTCCTCTTAAAGAGACAATATATTTAAATCATAAGAAAAATGTTTAAAAGCAAAAACATATTTCTGTGATTCTTGTACACCAATTCAAAGTGATTATACCAGTTTATCTTTATTAATATTATTCACAGGTAAACAGGCATATCAATTTGCCTATTGAGAAAGTATTACTATTCATCGAAATTTTTGTCTTTTATGTAACTTAGAAGCAGTGGTGGTGAACCTATGGCACCTGTGCCATAGCAGGCTGTTTGTATCATTAAAGGCTTTAAAAGGTCACCAACACTGACATAGAGGGTCTAGTTATAACAAAGTACAGAATTTAAGATAGAAGCAGGTGCCAATCTATTAAGACTGTAAGCTTAAAAAAAAAAGGAATTAGATGTGGTGGTTTACATCTGTAACCCCAGCTACTCAGGAAAATCAAAAGTTCTGAGCCAACCAAGGCAATTTGGCTCAAAGTAAATAATCAAAAGGGACTAGAGTTGTAGCTCAGCACTCCTTGGGTTGAATCCCCAGTTGGAAAAAAAAAAAGTGTATTATGTATGTATGTATGTATGTATGTATCTATCTATCTATCTATATGGAGAAAAAAGAAACAAAATCACGTAAGTGCCACTATAAGTTCCTTACAGATCATCATTGTTGAGTCTAGTGGTTTTAAATATATTTCTACAAATTCTGTAAGATTCTTCCCTTGAGAACAGAATTTTTAATTCTGTACTGTTTGTGGGTGTATTATTTAATGGTTCGCTTATAACAAAGTAGAAGTAATTGTGGAGACTTCAGAAACTTGGTCATGAAAAGACATTGCAGTTCCCTGCCTGGTGGCTCTCCTCACAGCGCTTGCTCAAAGGAAGCTAGGGTCATGCCTTGAGCAGCTCCCTGGAGAGTTAAAGAAGAGGCCAGGAGCCACAAGAATGGACTTCATGGACCTTCCAGTTTCACTGAAGCGTTCAGTTTACAGCCGTCAGTACCTTGACTGCAGCCTCAGAGAAATTAACCATCTAGCTAAGCCATGTAGCGCTACAGTCATCCCTCTAAACTGCTTCCAGATTCCTGAAACACAGAAAGATAATATATGTTTGTTATTTTAACCTAGTATTTTGATATAATTCATTATACAGCAAAACATAACTAACAGATTGAGAAATTTGTTTCAGTGTCCATACCCTATACAGTAAGTTTTATTTTTAAAAGGCTAAACTTGGAAGAAAGGGTGAAGGGATTGAAAATGATCAAGATATGCTATATGCTTGTACCAGTTCTATATTGTAGACATGCCCTGGGAAAGAAAGAAAAGACTAAATCTTAAGGTTTGAAAAACTTAACTATTAAATGTTATGAATTTAGTTTTCCCATTTTTATAGACATTGGTGGCTATGTTCAAAGACTAACTTTAAAAAAAGGCCAATAAGTAAACCAGATTCCAGTAGATAAAACTATATGGATTTCTAAATATATTTAATATTAAGTATGAAACTTGCTTTTTAGAGTGCTTTCATTTACTATAACTAAGGAATTAAATGATTCAATTTTTAGGAACTTCAAAAACTAAAAGCTCTAAGTTATGAGGTGCTCTGAATAGACTACTTCATCTTTAAACAAAAAGTTTCTTTTGGCAATACAGGAGATTGAACCAGTTGCAGTTGGTTTGTTTTTATTCCATCGTGTCCTTTTAATACTACTATATAGTTCCTACTGAGCTACTTTCCCACCTTCCTTTTTATTGTGTGTTTTAATTTTGAGACATGTTCTCACAAATTTGCCAGGCTGGATCCAAACTTGTGATTCTCCTGCCTCAGCCTACCAGAATCCTAGGATTATTGACCTATGCCATCATCCCTAGATGCCTTTTGTAACTTTAGCTCAGAATTCTGAAAATTTATCTGTGTTATACTTTTTTTACTCCAAACAAGGTTATTTTCCCTTTATTGGAATATAACTGTAATGAAAATCATTTTATTACTTTTAAGAAAAACCAAGAAAGGCCTCTCATATTAATATTTGGTACTTCATAGAGTCTTTTTTTTTTTTTTGGTGCTGGGGATTGAACTCAGGTCCTTGCGCTTGCAAGGCAGGCCACCGAACCGCTGAGCTAAATCCCCGGTCCTCCCAGGGTCTTTTGTTAAATATTTTCAGTAGCAAAACCCTGTATGACTGACTTCTAGATTTCCAAAAATGCTATATCAACATGCACACAACATACATACACACACGCACACGCACACGCACACACACACACACACACACACACACCCCATGCCCCAATGAGCCCTGTTCATTGGTGGGTGTGGTATGATTCTGTCATATATTCTAATGTTCTGTTCCCTAAGCAAAAAATAATTACAAAATAAATTCAATATGAAATATATTCCATACTGAAGAATTATTTCTAGATTACTTACTATATTAGCTGTGTTAATATTTGTCTTTTAATATATGTAATCAGAAATTCACTGGAAGTGGTTCATTTTTATTTCATTCTATATTAATACTGTATAATCATAGAAATGATAATATAGATTTGGAAAAAATAAAATTGGTTCTTTTTCTAAAATTGGTACTTTTTCATCTGACATTATTCATTTCTCATTTATCTTTCCTGGCTAATTTTAAAGGAGTTAATAGGTTTTACATAAAATGTGATGAACAATAATTAGTTACCTGATGTATATTTGGCAGTTTATAGTTTTATAATAGTCAAGTAGTGAAGAAACTTTCAAATAGATATACCTTTAATTTGATTTTGCTTCATTGCTATTTGGTACCTGGCAAAGTTCACAAAGCAGCATAATGTCAGGTATTATAGACCAACATGTATCTAGATTTGATTGTTACTGTAAATTAGAAATAAATACATAGTTTGTGAATTCACTCAGTTTTAGAAATGTTTTAATGACATTTGAATGTGAAATGATCCAGAATAACCGTTGTTTTGAATGAAGAAATCTGAACACTTAAATCATGCTTTCTTGAACTGTGATTAGACAGAATTTTAAAATTACACCCTGCCACTTTGATACCTGAAGGATTATTTGGTGTTTATAGGAAAAGGACTTGGAAACCATAAAGTACTAGAAATATTTGAAATATGATTGTGTTCTTTCCTGTTTGATGCTGAAAATTGAACCTAGAGCCTTGTGCAAGCTAAGCACACGCTCTGTCTCTGTGCTACACCTCCAGACCTGTGAACTTGGTTTTAATTAACAGACCTATATAAAAAAAAAAACTGCTAAGAAAACCATAAATTATGTTAGCATGTCTTTTGTTTTTACATTTTGGCTGGAGGGTATAGGTAGTGCATTTGCCTCAATGAGAAAGGTAAAATGGGACGCGTGCTTATTCAGTGACTTGCAATTGGCATTTATTGTGTACTGCTTTAAGATGACATAGTTTGAAGGATTATGCGGTTCAGCCAGACACTCTGTTCTTCATTCAAGTTGTCATTTGAATTTTCTCCGTTTCATTTGCCAAATATATATTGCAGCATGGTTGGTAAAGTAAAGAAAAGGGTGGATGCGCCAGGGATTTAAATCGCTCAGTGGTTACGCTGCCTGCCTCATAAGCACAGGTTCTGAGTTTGATCCCCAGTACCAAAAAAGAGAGAAAGAGAGAAAGAAAAGGGTGGAAATAAAGTAGTAACAAAGCAAAAAAAAATTAAAATTTCTATCTTGAAATGAAAAACACTGTTAGTGTACCATACTGTATATGAATGTGTCCTTGTATATCTGATAACATTATTTTTTCTGATCTGAATCTCACAATTCTATCTAAATTATTTTGGCACATATAATACTAGGTGGACTTAATACAGACTTGCTAACTTATTCTTTTTTTTATATATAGTTTTCAGCATATGATCTTATCCCATCTCCAAAATTAAAATCTTCTCAAGGAATGCCAGTCAGTGATGATTTATGTTTTAGCAGAAAAAGAGTGTCTAGAAACTTACTTCAGAATAGTCAAGACTTTCACCCAGATTCTCTTCCTACATGTGCTACTGGTAAGTAAAAGTTGAAGGTAATGGACATGTTGAAGTAAGTTAAAAACTTCTCTAAATTTCGTAGTCCATTCAAGGACTCATATGGTTTATAGCATAGAAGAAAGTTCAGATTCAATAAAAGTTTATTGAAGATCTGATAAAAAAAAAATGGATGTTTTCACATACTTGTCTCAGGAAACCCTGGGGGACTTTCTCGTTGAAACTTATTAAGCAGCAATGTAGAGCAATATTTGCTTAATAAACTACTTATATTTATTGAACATCTCTTGTGTGTCAAGAAGAGAGGGAAGAGTTTCCATCTAACGCAACTTGCATTCTGATTGGGGAGGTTAGACATTAAATGCAAGACATGGTAACGTAGACAAGGAAAGAACCTATGGATAAAAACAGCAAAAAGAGAAATATGAAAGGGGACTGTTTTGAATAACACAGAGAAGTTATAGAGTGAAAGGTAGTCATTTTGAAGGGCAGCACTGAAACAAGCCATTAGGTATAAGGAAAGAAAAGCAAATAACTTCAGGAAGAGGAACAGTCAGTGCAGAGTCACTGAAATAGAAGTATGCTGGACATATTTTAGATTAAAGAGGTTAGTATGTCTGAAATCAAATGTATAAGGGGAAAGAAGTAGAAAATTTAAAAAGCTAATAGTCTTTGTGCTGGGTGTGGTGGTGCACACCTGACATCCCAGCTTTGGGAGGTTGAGGCAGGAGGATCGCCACAAGTTCAAGGGCAGCCTGAACTACATAGTGAAACCCTGTCTCAAAAAACTGAACAAAACAGGGGAAGGGGTCTTTAATTATAAAACCTGCTGATCTATTAAATGAACTTTAGCTTTTACTGTAAGAAACATTTTAAGGAAAGAAATGACATTATATGCCTTGTTTTCCAGACTAATTTTGGATCTTATATTTAAAACAGGTGAGAAGAGGACAAGGACAAAAATAGAACTGATTAAGATTCCCTTGTTTTAATCCTGGATAGAGCTGATGGAGGCTGTAACCAGGATAGTGATGAATGTAGAAGTGATTGGATTCTAATTGTTAACATTATTTGCTGGTAGATTGGATATTAAGTGTGTCCAGAATGCTGTAGGAATGTTTTGCCAGGGCCACTGGAAAGATGTTTAATTGCCTCTTACAAAAAGTAAATATTATGATAGTCCAGATGGCATAGTATTGCCATGAGCCATCTCAGTTAAAAAGGCACCAAGGAAGAGGTAGTACTTGAACCACATCTTTTTGTATTCATATGATATAAATAGCTAGAGGGGAGATATAAGAGCAAAAGCTTGCATTAGGGATGGGCGTGACATCTGTGAGAGCTGCATCAAGATTCATTGCAGATGGTGCGAGATAAATTGGGACTAGGGAAGCTCTTACGCATTAGGTTAAAAAATGTGAGTTCAGGGCTAGGGATTTAGCTCAGTGGCTCTGCGCCTGCCTCACAATTGCAAGGTCCTGAGTTCGATCCCTGATACAAAAAAAAAAGTGTGAGTTCATACATAAGCCTTAAGAACCAATGAAGTTGTTTTTTTTTAACTAATGAAAAAAGAAATTAGGATAATAAAGTTGTAAGAGAAAGGAAAAAATAACCGGGAAGATACGGTTTTATTTGTTTTTGTTTTTGTTTTTGTTTTTTTGGTACTGGGGATCGAACTCAGGTCCTTGCACTTGGGATGCAGGCACCGGAACCACTGAGCTAAATCCCTGGCGCATAATATGGTTTTATATAAAAGATGAAGAATAGAAAAAAATTTTAAGACTTAGCACCCAGCTCATTAGAAAATTGATTTTCTATTAAAAAGAATTTTCAAAAACTAGGTATTTGGGTACATGCCTATAAGAAGCAGGAGAATCACAGGATTGAGCTGATCCTGGAAATTTAGCAGTACCCTGTCTCAGAAAGAAAAATAAGGTGCTGGAGTTTCAGCTTAAGGCCCTAGGTTCAAGTCCTCAGTCCTGCGTGGGGGGGGGAGAGAAAAGAGAAGAGAGGAAAATGTAAATCCATTGTGAAAATAATACCAGTGGGAAGGGCACATGGTAAAGAAGATAGAGTGAATATGTTACAGATTTTAACATTTATTTTATATCCAAATGATAGCAGTTGTTGAAATTTTGACTATGAGTTCAGACATGTTAGTCATCAATATTTTCCTAAGGGAATTAGGCCTTTATGCAGTAAAATTCCATAGTATTTTCATATAGAAATGAAATGGTTATATAATTTAACTTGTTATTTACTTACTAGAAAAACTAAAGTATAAGAATGTTATGTTCCTTTTTGGATTTTTATAATGTTATAGCTTCTATACCATGCAGAAGCTCATTGCCTAGTTGTAGAGATTTTAAGCAACTAAGGGATAAGATGATACATAACCTAATGCTAGATTGAATAATACAAATTATAAATATCAGGGATTCAAGAAAGGAATTGGAGGGCTGTGGATTTAGCTTAGTGGCACTGCACCTTCTTGAAAGTGCAAGGTCCTGAGTTTGATCCTCAGTGCTGGAAAAAAAATGAAGAAAAGAAAAGACAAAGGAATTGATTGTAGGTGCTGAAGTAGTTTGAGAAAACTGCAGGAAAAGAAATGGCTTGAACTGGATTTTAAAGCGAGGAAAGGCCAAGCATGTGATTATACAAGCCTGTAATCCCAGCTCCAAGAAGGCCAAGGCAAGAGGATCACAAATTGAAGATCAACTTGGGCAATTTTGTGAGACTGTATCTCATACTAAAATGTGAAAAGGGCTGGAAATGTAGGTTAGTGATGAGCATTCCCCAGGATGCACAGGGCCCTGGGTTCAAGACTTGGTGTAACCCACCTCCTAAAAAAAAGGAAGATGAAAGAGGAAAGAGTTTGCAGCTAGCAGTGAGACAAAAGGCGAGAAGAGAGTAGAGTATAACCAAACTCATGGATGAAGGAATTAATGTAGAAGATACCCTTTTTACATTAAAGATTAAAAAGTCTTGAAATCACAGGGAGGGAATTTTTTTTTTTAATCAGAATTTAGAACTACAGAGGACCAACTTATTTTAAAGACGAATAATCTTCCAGAGAGATTATTATGGCCTTTCTTTTAAGAGACTTTGTCACCTACCTAAGAATAATCCTAACTAGCCCCAGGACAGGGAAAGTGAACCAGGAAACATGCTTAGAAACTTAGATGTAGTCTTTGAAGCTACAGTACCTGAGTGCTGTGTGGTATCTTAAGAAAAAATAGTTCTGCAGTAGAACATTTTGGGGTAGTGTATACTACAGATACTGGGAAGAAGGAAAGCCAGGTTATAGTGAAACATTTCATAATGAGGAACAGGAGAATGAAGAAAGAAACTGCCTTTATATATACTCTTCACCATGACCAGATAGGATTCTTCCCAGGGAGGCTGGGATGGTTCACCATACACAAATCAGTTAATGGAATATACTATATTAACAGAGCCAAGCACAAAAACCATATGATCATCTTAATAGATGCAGAAAAAGCATTTGATGAAGTCCAACACCCATTCGTGATAAAAACCCTAACAAAGATGGAATCAATGGTCTTTATCTCAATCTTCATTATACCTTTCCTAGCGCTGTTCTTTACCATTTGATTTTCTGTTCTTTAACCTCCAGTCAGATTTGCCAACAGGAAAACGCTTATTGCCTTTTGCCTGCCTGTCTTAACTATACTGATATACCTATATTTATTCCCACCCAAATGACACCAACATTTGTGAAATAAGATGAATGCATGAAATGAAGTTTACTTTTACTTTGTGGGGTTTTCCGTTTTTTTTTCTCTGCAAAAGGTACAACTGGGACTCATCAAACAAATCTTCCTGGGAATTGTGGACAACTTGGATTGTCACATATACGCGGTAAAACTGGCAGTGTAGATTCTAACTTAGAGCTCCTAGGAACAACTAGCAGTCATCAAGATAAAGGTATAAATTCCAGATTTACTTGGGACCAGATGATTTATAAATATTATGTGGGGGGCCTGGGATTTAGTTCAGTGGTTCTGCCACCTGCCTTGCAAGTGCAAGGACCCAAGTTCCATCCCCGGTACCCCCTTCAAAAAAAGGGGGATTTTTTTTTTTTTTTTTTTTTGCAGTACTAGGAATTAATCCAGGTCCTCATGCTTGGCAGGCAGGTACTCTGCCAATGAGCTACATCACAGCCCTCATCGAATTTCTGACAATAGTTTGTATTTTATTCTGTGTAATTATACTCATCACAAAAAAAGGATATTCTAATAATTTTAATAACTTTTTTCCATAATTGATACCTTAAAATGTTTAGATTTTATAACATAGATGTACATATGACTGATGATAGTAAAAGTTTAGAAACTTATAGTGAAATTGAACATTTTAATACCAAATAATTGAAAATAACATCCATTAAATAATACTGTGTGAGCTGAGGCAGGTCTCAAGTTCGAACCCTGTATGCTAAGAAATAACTAAAATAGGGCCAGGGATTTAGCTCAGTGGTGCACTTGCCTGCCTTGCAAGCACAAAGACCTGAGTTTGATCCCCAGTACCAAAAACAAAAACTGAATAATTAGTATGTAATAGGGTTAACTATTCCTAGAAAGTTTTTATTTTATTTATTTATTTATTTTTGTTTTGTTTTGTTTGAGATAGTGTCTCACTATGTATTTGAGACTGACCTGGAACTCACTATGTAGCCCAGGCTGGTCTAGAACTCACAGCAATCCTCCTGCCTCAGCCTCCCGAGTGCTGCGATTACAGACATATGCCACGATGCCTGGCTTGAAAATTTTTAATTTTTGTTTTATGTCCTTTTGTACAATTTTTTGAGTGATAGAGATAGATATTTATTGTGGAAAAGTAATGATCATTTGAAATTGGTAAAAATTTAATTAATGTAGCACTTAAATTTTAGCTATTCTCTACCTACCACATAGGACCACATAGCTCCTTAAAAATTTACTGTTGCGATGTTACCCACTTCACAATAAATTAGTACATCATTCTAAGGCAGCAGAACCACGGAGCTAAATCCCCAGCCCTAGTCCATCCTTCTGAATGATATTGATATTTCCTAAATCGTGATGGGTAGAAACAGAGGATTTGCTACGTGGCTTATTCTGTCTCTGTTTAGGCCAACCCTTTGACGATTACCTCTATTCTCAAGATTTAATCAGATCTGCAGAGTAGCTGTGTCTTTCTGAAACTTTTCAGAGTATGTTATCTATTAGAACAGCAATTATAAAAGGACACTAGAATGTAATAGTTCGTTATATATTAAAAATTCTGACAGCGCTGCCATTTCTCAGTTTGTGTTCCTAGGGGATTTCTGAAGGACCTGGAGTGTGGATGTCAAACCATCTAAACATTCCTATCCCAATTTTAAATGTAATGATCCACACTGAGTGTTGGAGATGTTGGTGTATACTGCATTGTATTGGTTCTGTTCATATCCGTAAAACATCTGATGTTTGATTTCTTTGTAAGAAATATGTTTCAGACTCCTTAATGAACCGCTACCATGAAAGCATGAGAAGCTATTAATAGAGCACTATATTGAAATTAGGAAACTAAAAATATTTATATGTTAATCCGCTCAGATAACCTTTTTTTTTTTTTTTTATATACTGGGAATCAAACTGAGGACCTTGTGCTTGAGAGGCAGGAGGCAGAACCACTGAGCTAAATCCCCAGCCCCAGATAGCTTTTTATAGAACAGGAGAAGTCATTAAGGCCTTCAAAAAATTTTATTTGTAGTATACATAAGTTAGGTGTTTTGTCAAGGAAAGTCTTGTAAAAATAATCTTAAAAGAAAATTTAAGGGAATCCTAAAAGATTGCAAATAGATGTTTATGTTGAGATATATAAAGAAAATCTCAATATAAGGCAAGAAAAAAGTAATAAAAAACAAAACAATGAAGAAGCACAAAGTAATCCAAATATTTAAATAATTACCATAAATATAAATGTATCTAACTTACCGTTTAAATTACAGAGATGATCAGATTTTATTTTTTGATTGAAAGGCTATTTTTAAGAGCCAGATCTAAATACATCAGAATAGGGCCAGGGATTTGGCTCAGTGGTTCCACCGCCTGCCTCGTAAGTGCAAGATCTGAGTTCAATCCCTAGTACCAAAAAAAAAAAAAAAACCCAAAAAACATCAGAATAGTTTGGGAGAAAGTGTGGAAAGGAAGATATACTAGGCAAATGTTCAGAGGAGAAAAGCAGGTAAAATGTATTGATGACAAACAGACAATAAAGCTAATAATACTTTTAGCACTAGAGAGTATCTTTATAACTAGACAAAGACCAACTCACTATTAAGACAAACTTCTAATTATGAGTGCATGAGAATAGAGAGAGAGAGAGAAGAGATTACATACATTGGACTAAGTATATCTACATTCAAAGAATATGTGTTTGTGTGCCGGGGATTTAGCTCAGTGGTTCCGGCGCCTGCCTCGCAAGCACAAGGACCTGAGTTTGATTCCTGGTACCAAAGAATATGTGTTTGTAATTTAACAGAGTTACATGCAGAACATTAATGTACAAATGTTAGTAGAAAACTGTAATAGAATAAGAAAATACAATATATATAAGCACAAATTAAATTAGACCTTTACCCTAAACCCATGATGGTGAACCTTTTAGAGACCCAGTACCCAAACTGCTACCTAAAACCCACTTATTTATTGCAAAGTGCCTGAATTATACCTGAAAACTTAGGTTTTAGTTTGGAAAAAGCCATTTTTTGTCTTAAAGACACAATAGGGGCTGGGGTTTTAGTTCAGTGGTTCCGCCATCTGCCTTGCAAGTACAAGGCCCTGAGTTCAATGCCCCATACCAAAAAAAAAAAAAAAAAAAAAAAAAAAAAAAAAAAAAAAAAAAAAAAAAAAAAAAGACAAGAAAGAAAAGAAAAATAAAAACACAATAACAGAGCTTTCAGTAATACAAATAGCCTGCTGCAGCACATGTGCCATAAGTTCGCCACCACTGCCCTATACCATACAAAAAGATAAATACCAGATGGAATGAAAATCTGAATGTGAAAATGAAAGTAAAACTTTAAGCTCTGAGAAAATGTGCATATATAAATAACATTTTCTTTTTTTTTTATGACAGTGTGTACTAGCCTAAATTTTGGCAGTAGGATGCAGCATACATTTGGTACTCAAACAGAGCGCACATCTTCATACTGTGGTCCAAATCCAAGTCCAGGAGCCTTCATCCTTCCATCCTATCCTCTCTCCTCACCTCGAACTAGTCCAAAGCATGCATCTCCTCTTACTGTATCTCCAAAGAAGTCGCAAGATAATTCTCTTAATTTCTCAAATTCCTGGCCTCTTAAAACCTTTGAAGGACTATCAAAGCCAAGTCCACAGAAGAAGCTTGTCAACCAAAAATCATCTGACCCTACAGGTAAAAACTATGGTAAAAGTCAATAAATATGTATATGTTTCAATGAATACTTTGGAGTTAGTATATAGATTAGTTAATATAAGATTTTAAAAAACTCAAATTACATTGTTTCTCTGAATTAGCAAATATTTAGGAAAATATTTGAAAATATATATGATAGAGAAATGTGTATAATGTAAAATTCCATCAAAATGATCATTAATATTCTTATATTGCCACTGAAAATCCCTTTTCAGAACCAGATGAATAATCCTTTATAAGGTACATAAATAGTATTATGTTGCTTAAGAACCTATTAATAAATTTTAGCATTATTAAAATATCATTTATCCATTTACTGTAGTGTCTAGTGTTCATTTATTAAACATTAATTGAATGTTTATTATATGCTGTATATACATATGTTTGTGTGTGTGTGTGTGTGTGTGTGTGTATTTTTTGTTTGTTTTTTGACTGGGTATTTAATTTGAGCCCTTGCGCTTGCAAGGGAGGTGGCAGAACCACTGAGCCAAATCCCTGGCCCTACATGCTACAATTTTGAAGGGTTTTCTATTATTTGTTATAAGCTAAAATCTCATTCTTAATAATATTCCCCCTATGATGTTAGTATGAGTTCATTAAAGATAAATCCAGTCCCAAGAAGTCTATTAAAGCATCCCCTGTGTCCTACATGCTTTTTTTAGTCAAGCCACTAAGGTAAGATTTTCCACCGTTAATATCCTACTACACCACTTGATAATTTATAACCATATTAAAGTCAATGTATTGTATATTCTGGCAGTTGAATCACTTTCTCTTAACACTGAACCTTCATTCCCTTCTATTAATTTCTTTGTCTTCTCCACAAGATCACATATTGAATTAAAAGCTAAGACTTTGGTCTAAAGGTGTAGCTCAGTGGTGGAGTGCTTGCCTAGTGGGTCAAGGCCCTGGGTTTGATCCAGCACTACAGGGGAGAAAATGCTGAGACTTTATTTTCCCCAGTGCCCAACATCAGGGCTTTCATATACTAGTTATCCAAATGCTACTTACATAAGTGAATCAGGACAGAAAAATAGCTCTTCTAGCTTATTTTGGAGTTTTTCCTAACAGAAACGGGTCATGATGGAGTGTAAGAGGACAGATAACTTAATTTGGTATATAATATGAAAGATTTCAAGTGGCTTATTTTTGTTATATTCATTAAGGGACACTGATACTGTTATTTCATTTTAAATACTAATCTTTATTTCTAATAAAACATAATGCCTTCTTTTGAAAGCACTATTCCTGACAGACTTGTGACTGTATGCGCCTTTTCTCTGAAAAAAGGAAAAAGTGAAATAATGTTTTTTTTTTTTAATGCAGGAGAAAATTCTCAAGAAAAAGCTCCTCCAGTTCAGTTTATACCTGCCTTAGTAAGATCACCGTCTTCCAGACGAGGCCTAAATGGGACAAAGCCTGTTCCCCCTATACCAAGGGGAATAAACCTTTTGCCTGACAAAGCTGATTTAAGCACCATGGGCCACAGAAAGAAAGAGCCTGATGATACTTGGAAGAGTGGAAAAGGTAGTCTCACAGTTGATCTTTCAGAATTAAATTTCATGGATAAAGACTTGGATCAAGAAGAGGTGAGAAGCATCTTTAATTATTTAAGAATATTTGAAAATTTCTATAATGCTACAATTGCTATGAAGGAAAAATCAAGTCCTTATCTCATGACATTTTTTCTTATTTATAAAAATATTTTTTTTATTATAAAATGTGGTGATGCCGTGAATTATTAGGAAGGAAATTCAGAACATGAGCTCCCATGACCCAGAATAATTTCCTGTAATACTCGTGTTTCCTTCCAGTAATTTTTCTGTCTGTATTATTCTCTTTTAAAATTAAAAGTATGAATGATGACATAGCAGTACATCAGTGTACTAAGCACTGCTGGTGAACAATTTGTCATATTCATCTCCTGTGTTACAGTTCCCTTCCAAATCTAATATCTGTATTCACAAATTAACTCATTAATATTACTTCATGTTTTATGTATTTTGTAGTTTTTTTATTAATATATTTTTATGTATTAATTGTACATTCATACCGTTGATTTGAGCCTGTTAACGCAAACAGTGCTATAGTTAACATTTTTAAGCCTAGACTTTGTGCATATCTGCAAATTTTTCTATCTTTTTGAAATTGAGGTCATATTATATATTCTTCTGTGAATCCTACATTCCGCTGTTTATGCTATCAAAATGTATTACCAATATCATAATTTTGTACATACTAATTATATCAGAGTAAGAATGTGGTTCCTGTTTTTTTATTTTTGAGTTTAGGGTACTATTTCATACTTTAGTTTGCCTAATTTCATGTCAGAAAATAGTTGTACATGCCAGACGTGGTAGCAGATTGAAGAAGACATGCACATGGCAATTTGCTATAGGACTACTTAAAACAGTGAAAGACTAAGCTAGGTATAATGGCACGCACGCACGCACGCACGCACACACACACACACACACACACACACACACACACACAGCGGTCAGGAGACTGAGGCAGGAGGGTGGTGATTTTGATGCCAGTCTGGCCTATATGGCAGAGATCCTGTCTCAAAAAACAAAAGCTTTTATATCATATATAAACAGAAATATTTGTGATGTTTAAATGGTCTTATGTTAGCCTGTTTTTAAGATAGAAGCATGATGTACTTATAGTTAGCTTAGAGTTAATTTTAATGCATATTCATTAAAAAAGATCTTTAATGTTAAGCATGCATAAAACTTAGAAAGTACCAAAGTTGGTTCTGAATGATTAGTCATTCCAACTTCTAAGTGTTGTTTATAAAATGTTTTCCTAGATTTTTGTCTTCTAACTCACTATACTTCAGTTGTACTAGGAAGGGAGTTTATTTAACGGAAAGAAACATAGAGAAAAGGCATTTTCTTACATAACTCAAACATTTCACCTGATCCTACCTGTTCTTGCATTGTTTTTCTGTAGCACTTTTTCTTTAGTAGATAATTGAAAGGTTAGTTTCTCTTATATAATTGTTTGCAAACACAGAAGTATACTGTTGTTTTTAGGTATTAAATTTTCCAAGCTTTTACTAGGACAAGGGCCTACTGTTGAATCTACCAGTGTAATTAATTAAAATTGCTCATCTTGCCTTCTGGGTGTGAGTCTCTGTTTATCTTCTTTTATGTGAGTTGACTTTATGAAAAGTCATTGTGAAGCCAGCTATGGTAGCACATGCCTGAAATCCTAGCATCCAGGAGGCTGAGGCAGGAGGATTGCAACAAGTTTGAGGCCAGCCTGGGCTACATAGCAAGCAAGACCTTTCTCAAACAAACAAACAAACAAACAGAACATTATTGTGGATTTTATAGATTAGAATTGTGTTCTTGTGTTACAAGGAAAGTATACTAAGCAACTTTATTAGTTCAATATTACTTTTATGTGCATTTTTATATTACAGTTGCTATATTTCCACAGTACCTAGTAATGTGCCAAACACTTTCATTTTCATTACAGTAACACCCTGAGTTAAGCAACACAACATCTATTATGATTTTGTTTTGTATGTGTGTTTGTTTTTACAGAAGAGGATCAGAGATGTTATTGCCTTGCTCAGGGTGAAAAGTAAGTGATGGGCTAGAACTCAAGTTCAGTTCAATTCTCCATGTTCATGTTGGTTTCCAGTGTACTACACGCCACAACCTCATTAAGGAGGTTATCCTTTTACCAGTGTAAAGACTTAAGAAATGTGTGTATGTTTCATTAGTTAAGGGCAGATACTTTCATTAAATGCTTAACCTTATAAATTGAAATGTAAACAAAATGGTTTATGATTCTGTATTTCTTAAATATTTTCAAGATTCTATTACCGTACTTAATATGTTAGTCTTGAATCATTTCCTGCATTTTTTAAAATAGTTGGCTTCAAAATAGTTACATGCAATAATCGGTTATTCTCTGAACTCTTAAGTCCTTTTGCAGGTTTGATTTAAACGTCAAACTTTAGAAAACCAGTTACTTTCTGTTAGCCCTCTAAAATCTGTAAGTAGCAACCTTAGCATACCAGGGAGCTAAAATCTGATTCAGTGGTTCCTTTATTAAGGAACTTAACTAATTTTTTAATCATTGTACCTGGTGCCAAAATTATCATGGCCAATAATAATTGAAACTCTTCCTCTCATGGATCTAAGAACCTAGTAGGTTGTTTATTTATATTCCAGTGACAAGGCCCAGGCTTTTATACAGTGTACATTTATGTTAGTATCCATCTTCTTACTACTGGACTTAGGAATAGCTAGGTAGGTATAATTAGTAGAGTTTAAAAATCCACAGATAACTTTTACTAATAGAATTTATATTAAATCATGAAGTTGTTTTTATTTTTTCTTAGATGCAGAGCTCTCTTAGGTCTCTTCGTAATAGCGCAGCTAAGAAAAGAGCGAAGCTGAGTGGCAGTTCTTCTGATGTTGAAAGCCCTGATTCTGCCATGAAGCTTGATTGGACCATGGACTCCCCATCTCGATCGTCCTCGCCAAACATCAGCTCTTACAGTGAAAGTGGAGTTTACAGCCAGGAATCACTGACTTCTTCTCTGTCTACAACTCCCCAGGGGAAGAGAATAATGTACTGTATTGTTTTGGAATGTGACATAATATTCTTCTGTATTTATAATCTAGACCCTCTAATGCTGTATTTAGAAAAAAATCATTTATTGTTTAGTTTTCAGAATGCTAAAATACATTTAAAAGGCAATGGGAGAGTTTGCACATATTACTTTGCTTAGCTTGGGCTTGGAGTGAGGGTACAAAGAGAACTCCAGCTGCAACCTGGAACACCTAAATTGATGTAAGCCCCATTTCCAAAGCCCCAGTTGTGGTTCCTTCTAAACTTTATCCTGATATTCTTTGTTCTTTAGCTTTCCTACAAATCATTTTCTCTTTTGTTAGTTGACTTAGACTACTTTTATTTTAAATTTAACATATGAATAAGTTCTACCCAGCTATTATCTGCTATTTCTTACATTTTGTTATTTCTGTTATCTTGCATAATAAGCTCATGACTCCATTCCATAGCTTTCAAAGCCCTCTGAGGAATTTCCCTAACTAGGGCAGTTGTGCTAGAATTAGACTTGGCTGTCCCACATCAGCAGAGAATTATTTTCAGCATAGCAATTGAACCAACTTTTCTACATTACCTTTAGAACCTTTAAGTCTTAAACAGTGTCATCACCCTGATTTCTGGATATCCCTGCTAGTAATTGCTAGGGTTTTCAAAATGGTTGTGTAATTTTATACTCCCACCACCAGTGTGTGAAAATTATGATTGTCTCACATTCTTTTTTTTTTTTTTTTTTTTTTGGTACCCGGGATCAAGCTCAGGACCTTGTACGGCAGGCGGCGGCACCACTGAGCTAAATCCCTGGTCCATCACATTCTTGATAACATTTCGTGTTGTCCTTCTAGTTTTATTTTCCTTTGATTTTATCTGAACATTGTTTATATATGGCTATTAAAGCAAATATTTAAATGAAATTAAAATTATTTTCACTTTAGTAAATTGGAACCTATGATAAATGTAGGTAAAGATTTCATGATCACAGAAGAGGTAGTATTTTAATAACTTTAATAGGAGCTTCAATTCATAAATTATACTGAATTTTTGTTTCTTGTTCTTAGAGGTTTGTCTCATCCCAGGATTTTCCCCTCTAAATTGTTAACTGAAACAATTACTTGCTTTGCACTTGAGGATTTTTTTTTAAACTGGAAATTCTTTTGTTGTAATCATAGTACTGAGGTAAACTAATAGAAATATATTTACAGAATGAATTTGGAGTGGTTTCATAGATTTGTAAAATAACCATTTATATTAAGTCTATTGTAGTTAGTTGTAACATGTAAATAATTTGAAACTCACTGGGGAAGAATTCAGTACTTCCTAAATTGTGTCACAGAATTATTCTCCTCAAACATTAAACTCTGTAAGAATGGAGTTCAGCACATCCTCACTTATGGTCTGAATTATCTGTAATGGATTTAAGATTCCCACATTTGTACTTAATGGATTTAGTACAGTTAGTCTGAACCAACACGCATCCTGCCTTAGGCATCATTGTGGAAAAAAAAACTACTGCCGAAGCCAGGCTTTTATTGTTAGATGGGTTAAGGAAGAAAAATTGTCAAAAACCACCGTTCTGTCCTGGTGTGGTGGTGCATGCCTGTAATCCCAGCACTCAGGAGGCTGAGGCAGGAGAATTGCTGTGAGTTCGAGACCAACCTGGGCTACATAGTGAGTTCCAGGTCAGTCTCACCTACATAGTGAGACCCTGTCTCAAAAAACCACCCTTCTAGACTGAAGGTTTTTCTTTCATCCAGTCAAATACACAGAATACATTTCTCTATAATAAAGAAAATATTCTTTCCAACTAATATTAATTTGTTTGAGGCTCAGTATCATGTATATCTACCCAACTATTTAGAATTGCACTTCTTTGTAAAAGTCTCCTTCATATTATCCATTACTGATTTATTGACTTTACAATATTTACTAATGTAAGCAATTTCCCTGCATTAAGATTTAATATTTCGTAACAAAGGAAGTTTATTTTCTTTATTAAACAAAGCCCATAGGCCTTTAAAATGTCAGGAAAGTGTAGTATAGGATAGTCTAAGAAGAAAGTGGGATTTGCAAGCTCTATTGCTGCTGATTTCATATTTATAGTAAGGTCTCTGTTTTTGACCTGTATATGATGGTAGATAGTATATTAGATAAATAAGAGATAATTTGATTGGATCTTAAAATGAATTCTTGATTCAGTGTTTTTGGACTTATCCAGAGATTATATAGCACAAAGCCAGAGTCATTTCCTGTAGCGATCTTTTCATGGAAAGTTAAAAATTAGCCATGTGTCAAAAGGTTCGAAGGGCTGGAGATGTAGCTCAGTGGCACCTGCCTGGCAAGTGCAAGGTCCTGAGTTTGATTCCCCTGTACAGGGGTGGGTGTGAGGGGTTGTTCAAAGGTCAGCCAGGCGTGGTGGCACATGTCTGTAATCCCAGCACTCCGGAAGCTGAGGCAGAAGGATCACGGTGGGTTTGAGGCCAGCCTGGGCTAAAGAGTGAGTTGAAGCCCAGCCTGAACTGCATAGTGAGACCCTGTCTCCAAAAATAAAAGAGGGTCACATATCAGAGTGAGCTAAAAATACTCTTAGCTATAGTTTTTATATTTTATGTTTGCTTATTATCTGCTTTTATCTACCTTACTGAGTAAAATAGAATATACATGATATGAGTATTGAGCAACTCTAAAAATATTTATTGCAATTACTTTGTTTCATTGTAGGTCAGACATATTTCCAACATTTGGACCAAAACCTTGTCCAACAAGATTTTCTTCTGCAAAGAATAAAAACTCTCATATTGGTGAACCAAGCACCATTGCAGGTATTTTATGACTATTTTATAAATATGGTTTGTAAGAAATATGATTTTAAATGATGATGTCAAAATGATAGCAGGTGCATTCAAAAGTTAAAATTTTTGAAGTAACACATCATTTTAAACTATGTAAAAGGCCACTTTGAGAAGTGTAAATTTTGTATTATTTTTGGAAGTTAATTTATTTACCTGAATCAATCATTGATTTCTTTTGAACTCACAGGTACAGCTTTGCCTGGTTCCCTTACCCAGATATTTTGATTTAGTTGTTATGAATTGAGACCTGACTATCAGAATTTTAAGAGCTCCTTAAATGATTCTAATATACAACATAGTTTGAGAATTACTGGGCATCATAAATGACAGTTTCCTTTAGAAACAATAAGTAGTTATTACTAGTTATAATTGAGTTAAATATTATTTTTGAAGAAATATGTAGCTTGTGTAGATATACATGAACTAGATATATTCACTTGTGTCTTGCATTAAAACTTTTGTGACTAGGGCTGGGGATTTAGCTCAGTGGTTCTGCCTTACAGTCCCAAATTTGATCCCTGGTGAACCCCCCCCAAAAAACTTTTGTGTCCAACCTTGAAGTCTAATTTTATAACATCACTTCTCAGAAAACATTTAACAATCATTCATCAATTAGAAAAGTATTAGACTTTGATCTGTTTAGAGTGGGACCTGCATGTGATTCTTCTTTGTGTGTCTTTTTTCTTTGCACTTGGAATTTTTTTCTTTTTTTCCTGTACTGGGGATCAAACTCAGGACCTTGCACTTGCAAGGCAGGCACAATGCTGCTGAGCTAAATCCCAGCTGTGGAAATTTTTTTCTTAATGGAAATTCCTTTGCTGGAATTACTGGAGTAGAGTAACAGAATATACAAAATGAATTTGGAATGACTGCATAATTTACTTTATAATTAGTAAAATTGTATCGAATTATGAATTGGGATGTATTTATTTTTAAATGATAAGTCCTAACAACATTAAGGCTACTTTACATCATAATTCCCTTCCCAAAAACCTGTACATGTTTATGATTGTTTACTAAAATTTTTTAATTTCTTGGTTTAAATATGTCTCAATTTCCCCCCTTTTTAATTCCTCTCCTTGGCTTTAGTTCACACTCATTCTTATTTCTTGCCTATCCCACTTTCAATCTCATTCACTTAAAATCCATTCCTCATGAGAGCCAAGGATTTGGCTTAGTGGTTCTACTGCCTGTCTCGAAAGTACAAGGACCTGTGTTTGATCCCTGGTACCAAAATAAATGAAGAAAGGTCTGGATTTTAAAAAAAATCCATCCCTCATCATGTGAAGCCATGAGGTATGATCACAAATATGTTGAATGTTTAATAATTTTATTGCAGTAAAAGACACATTGCTATTAGTTCCCCACAAAATACTGTCCCCTTGCTTCAAACACTTACCCCATTGTCATGTTATTTCCCCCCACCCCCTTTCTGAAGCAGTTCTGGAAGTTCATTTTCATGTTTTTGGTTGTGCTGTCATGGCTACTTTGATGTCCTGAATCAATTTAAAATGTTTACTTTTCGTGGTCATTTTTTGACTTTGGGGAAGAGCCTGAAGTCGTGTGATGTGAGATCCAGTGAATAAGGTGGATGAGGACACACTGTAATGTTTTTATGAACCTGCCTTTCCATTGCATGGCACTTGGCAACAGCCTTCACTGTAGTTTTTAATCCTACTTTGTAAAAGCACTCATGAAAAAGGACTTCCAGAACTGGTTCAGAATGTGCCAAAAAAGATAGGATAAGTGTGTTTGAAACAAGGGGAAGTATATTGAGGGAAAATAATAACACTATGTCTTTTACTGTAATACATTATTTTTATCTAAACATTCATCCTGTATTTTGATCATCCCTTGTATAAAGTTATTCACAGCATCCTTCAGTGATCTGGTTTCTGCCTACCTCTCCGGCCTCATTTTTCACTTCTCTTTTTGTATATTGTGCTCCATTTAAGTCAGACCACCTTCAGTACCATTACTGTTTTGGCAGTCACACTTTTCCCACTGAATGAAATCTATATCACACCCTATTCAGCTATGAAAGTAGCTCATTTGCTTTCTCTGGAAGCCTTCCCCAATTCACAAATAAGATTGATTATTAATAATTCCTGTCCTAATCACAAATGGCTGATTTAACCAGTTGTATTTGGTTTACTGGTTTGCCTGAAACTATTGTTCAACAAGGTGATAGCTATTCTACTAGGCCCAAGAAGTCAGTGTTTATGTGCTTTAGAGTCTGAAAACCCCAGCTGAAATCCCAAATTTATTTTTAATAATAATAATCACACTCTATACAACTTAATTGCTTTGAAAGTTAGTTTCCTCATCCAGTGAATACAAACCTTGAGAAGGGAAGAGTAGTGGAGGTTTAAACGAGTAACATGTATGAGGCCCTTGAGCATAGTGGATACTCCAAAACATATTCCCTAAAAGGGAGAGACACACAGAAATACATCAACTTATACTTTAATCCTTTTTTTAAGGCTGATAATACTAACGAATCTATTCATAATTTAAAATGTTTATAAAAGATTGAAGAAAAGTTAGGTTATAGGTTATATCTTTTAATTCTAGAATTAAAAGAATCATATCACGGTGATATATGCGCTCCTATGTTTATAGTGTCAGTTTGTAATAGCTAAAAACTTGGAAACATCCCATTTGCCCATCAGTTGGAAACTGGATAAAGAAGATGTGGTTTTTCTATAAAATGGAATACTACTCAACCATAAGGAATGAGAAATTAGATTCATTCGTAGGAAAGTGAATACATATTGGGGATATACTCCTAAGTGAAATAAATAAGTCACACATGTGTAAATACCGAATAGTTTCTCTGGTGTGAATAAACTATAATAGTACATAAGGTTCTAATGATATAATGGACAATGTGAAATAGGAAGAAAAGGGCTAAAGGTGTAGGGAAAGTGGGAAGGGGAGGGGAAAGGTAATAAGGGAAAAGAAAAAAATATGAGAAAATGAAAAAATGGAAATAAAGTGTTTGTAAATGGGGAGGGGAGGAGGGGGTGAAGGGAGAGCAGGGACAAGGGGAAAAAATGACAACCAAAACCTGTCATGTAAAGATACAAGATCCCAATGATGAATATAACTGTACTGTATACCTAAAATGTACCAATAAACTTAATTTAAAAAATTAGATTGTATCTAGTTTGTAGAAACAGAACTTTTTTGAGAAGGATTTCTTTCAAATTGGAAAAAAATAAATTTAAAACCCAGATTTCAGTTCTCCTCTGACACTAATTGTATGACCTGCAGAGTCACTTAACTTTTACAAGAATGGTTAATCCTGCAGTAATACACATTTCTGTGTGAATCAATTCATGTTCCCCAGATGTGCCTAATATTTGGTGTTTTTCCAAATTAACCTAATCCTAGGAAGTATGTGGGCATATGTAATGCATACGAGTCCTCACCTCAAACCTAATGAATTCAACTTAATGGTTAGAAGTCTATGCTTCATAAAAAAGGTTGTTTTAGGATTAAGTTTTGGAAGCATTACCCATAACTGAATTCACTATAAGATAATCTTAAATAGTCTATGAAGCTATTAAGTTACTAGTGGCTTAGGATTTCTTAAATTTGGATTTATTTTTTTTCCCATAAACAAGTGATAGCTATAAGTTTATGGTAATTTCATTGGTAAAACATGAAAATGATAGTACTCACAATAAAGACTTATTTGAAGATAAAAAATATAAATTATATAAAAAATTATAAATCCAGTGTGTCTTTGCAACAGTGTTTCCAATTAAGGTGTCCACATGTGCGGTACAACTATTGCTTACTGAGAACTGTGCTAACTTTTCTAAATGATGTTATCATAAACTTTTCCTGTATCATTAGGTCATTGTCACCTATTAACAGAAAGCATTTCTAAACAAAATGTTATCTTTAGAAATCTTACTTATGGATTAACTATCAAAATTAAGAATTTTAAAAGATATCCATGAGACTTTGTAGAAGTTTGGTTATCATTTAGTATCAGATATTTTATAAACTTTTCTTCACGAACTAATACCTTTCGTTTTGTCTTTCATTTTGTTTTGTGATGTTGAGGGTTGAACTCAATGGCCTTTGCACTGAGCTCCATCCCCAGCCCTCACTAAGTCACTAAGTTGCCCATTTTGGGCTTGTTTGTATCACCATCCCAGAGTGCTAGAATCACAGATGTGTGCCATCACCCCAGGAAAACAATTATCTTTTTAATGGGGGGTGGATGAGACAGCTTCTCACTATATAATTCAGGCTGGTCTCAAACTCGTTATTTTAAACAGTATCTTTTGTTCTACAGTACTTTCTAGCCTAGCTGCCAATACCTACCTCCTCTCCGCACCATCCTGTTTTTAATTGAAATACAACATTAAGAACAAAGTATATTATTATTGTTTAATGGTTTACATAAGAGCTAGATATAACAATATACACTCAAATATATGCAGTATTGCCTAGGATTTGTCATTTAATAAATATCTTGTGGTTGTAATAGATGCAAAGTATTACCATAATGTGTGAGCCAGGGATTTAGCTCAGTGGTTCAGTGGCCTGCCTTGCAAGTGCAAGGACCCAAGTTCAATCCCCGGTACCAAAAAAACAACAAGAAAAAAGTATTACCATAATGTGTGAGCCAGGGATTTAGCTCAGTGGTTCAGTGGCCTGCCTTGCAAGTGCAAGGACCCAAGTTCAATCCCCGGTACCAAAAAAACAACAAGAAAAAAGTATTACCATAATGTGGTCAGCTTAAATATTCAAGTGTAGATTAAAATTTTTTTGTTGAGATATACAGTAACATAGGCGCCATGCTGAGATCTTTATATGTCTTTGTCTTCTCTTCATGTAATCCAGATGGCAGTTGTAGAAAAGGTTCTGTTATTATCCTTGTCCTACACGTAAGTGAAGTGTCTTACTGGGTTCTCCCAGAAGTTTAAGTGCAGGGACAATTGACACTAAGGAGTATGACTCCAGACACTGAGTTCCTAGTCACTGTGTGGGTTATTGCCTCACCAGCCAGGCCAGGATAAACCCTTACACGTGGCCAGGAGAGACGAAGAATGAAGAACATAGGCGTCGCTCAGGCTACTGTTTCAAATCTCTGAATTTTACATTTTTTATTTATAGTTAAAGGTGTCATTTAAATACTAGCTATCACTTTTTTTAGCTATAACTTTTAAACACATTTGATTATCTCCTTCAAACATTACATTTCATATTTTATTATAATTTTAAATCATTTAAAGAAAGGTATATATAACTTATAATAAATGTTCTTATCTACAAGATTTAAAAGTTATATAATTTAAAATAGGATAAAACGCTTCTATCATGGATCACCAGGTGTGGTAGCACATGTCTGTATTCCCAACACTTGGGAGGCTGAGGCAAGAGGATCATTATGAGTTCGAGACTAGCCTGAACTACATAGTGAGACCCTTTCGCAAAAAAATAATAATAATAAAAATTAAAACTGCCATTGTATTATGACTGCTGATATTATATTACTAACCTTTTAAAAAGGTTAGAAGCCAAGATACATGTAGAAGAGATAAGTTCCTCTTATATTACCTAAATAATTCAAATAAATATTTTGTTTTATAGGGATTACAACATCCAATGTAAGCATAATTGGTCAACATATGAACTATAGGTTTGAATGTGGTGACTTTGAAGATGATAGGTCACATGACATTTCACCTAGTTCATTTAAAACACAAAATAAGGAACACCCAAGACATAAGCATACAAAAGGTCAGTAAATTTCATTGCAAATTAATTTTTAAGATTTAATATGTCTAAGAACCCTCCCTAAGCATACCAATAAAGAGAAATTTACTGAATTTTCAGTTTTGAAGTTTTTCGTCTTACCCTATTTGTGTTGCTTAAATAATTTTGTGGAATAAACCTCACAGGATTGTGTATTGGTTTATAGGCTCCCCCAGGAAACAGTGGGGCTTTGAAAGGACTGCTCAGGAGTTAACACTAGGGAGGCCCCATGGACCTCTACTCTAAGGACATGCACAGGTACATACACACACACACACACATGCACACACGTGTGTGCGCACACAGACATTTTTACAAGGCATTTGCCACTAAAATGGGTGGGAAGCAGTTGTGCTAGTAAATTACTCCCAGGTGTTGTTAGGTTGTAGCCATGGCGTAAAGCCGTGGCAGCAAGAGTGTGATTCCCTCTGGCAGAGAGCCTCCGAGTTATCACTAACCATTGTTAGCAATTTTCATTTTTTCAACTTGGTAGTGAGTAGCACATCTGGTGACTGCTTATTTCTTAAGAGATCCTATTATAAGCTGCATTTTAAAATTTTAGAGGACAGAAGAGGTGATACTTTTAAAGGATATGAATATTTAAACAAATAGGGTAATTAGAAATCCCCTGTATTTTTGAAACCTAAGATAGTAAGTAAAGACCTGTCAATTTGTGTGTGTGTGTCTATGTCTGTGTAGCAACTGTGATATATATTAAGGATCAACTTACATACTTCGTTATTTCTGATATCTGCAATTAGCTATGTGCAGGCAGATAGACCAGTATTTTTTTATGAAAGTAACTCATGTTGGATGAGAACTTGATTAGAACCTGTTGTGTGTGGCATTGTTTTTGGAAATTTCTTAAACTCTAATGAGTGATATAAATTAACATCTCTTCTGTGTGACAATAAGGTTACTATTTTTACAAAAGAAAATGAAGCTGAGCTTGGTGGCACATGCCTATAGTCTCAGCACTTAGGAGGCTGAGGCAGGAGGACTGCAGCGATTTTGAGGCCAGCCTAGGCTACAAAGTGAGTTCAAGACCAGCCTGAACTGCCTACTAAGACCTGGTCTCAAACAACAACAAATAGGATTTTTAAATATTTATTACATATTTTCTCATGTAAAGAAAATTAAGGTCAAAAATACTTTTCTTATTAAATGTGATTCATTCTAATATTATAATTTTTTAAAATTTTTACATTGAACACCAGGCGTAATGGTACATGCCTGTAATCCCAGCACCCAGGAGGCTAAGGCAGGAGGATTGCTGTGAGCACAAGGCAAGCCTGGAGTACATAGCGAGACCCTGTCTCAAAAAACAAAACAACAACAACAAAAATTTACATTGGTTTAAATTGCTCACTGTCCATTTGCTGCTGGTGATGTCTTTTTTGGACAACAGAATCATAAATACATTTACAAATACATTTATAAATACAGCAGTTAGTGCTGCTGCAGAAAATTCACCCTCAAACATTCAACTGTAAGCCAAACAGTTATTTCTAGCAACAAAAGCAAACTTAATCTAAACCAGACTTACCTTCCTTCACAGTCCTGTTTGCCTTCAGTGACTCTGCTATTTTCCCACTCGCAGGGGCCTAAGCTTTTGTACTCATCTTTGTATCCTTCTCCTTACCTTCCAAGGCAGACAGTGGTTCATGCTCCTGCGTTTTTCTTCTCATTCTCACTTTATTTGCTTCTATGGTTGTTATCTGACCTTTTGATCAGACCTGTCTCCTGTTTTCATCTCTGTAATTTATGCTGCATACTCTTAGATTTATCTTTCTAAATTACAGTCATCAGTACTCAAACACTTGAGTGGTTCTCTGTTTTCCAAAAATAAAATTTCTACTCTGGGGCTGGGGATTTAGCTCTGTGGTTCCACTGTCTGTCTCACAAGCACAAAGTCCTGAGTTCGATCCCCAGTACCCCCGCAAAAAAATGTCTACTCTGAACCATAAATTTTAAGCCTCTTTATAATCTTACATCATCCTTTTATTTTTCTACTTCTTACTATTTCTCTTTTTGTGCTGTGTGCTCTAGGATTTTTCTTTTTCCTTCCCCTCAGTACTGAAGATTGAACCCAGGCCCTTCACACTGTGATACATCATCAGCCCTTAAAAAAGAAGGAAAGAGAGAAATCTTTTTGTTTTGGTTTGTGTGAAAGGGTTTCTCTGTGTGGTTCAGGCTGGCCTTGAACTCAGGCTGATCCTGCTTCAGCTTCCCAGGTGCTGAGATTACAAGTGTGTGCCACCATGCTGACCACCCTTTTTAAAATTTTGTGAAAGGTTTTAATATGAGAAGTTTTCTTAATTTGCATTTACAAAGCCTAGATCCCCTCTTCAAATTGCAGTAGGTCCAGATTATGTGTAATTCTGAATACTGGTTTAAAACCTTATTCTTCAGAAAACTTTGCCTACTTGCCTGATCTGGAATAGTCCTCCCTCTCTTCCCTCATCCTACCTTCCAGGTAATTATGCATATTTTATATCTTTCATATTAAATCACAGTGATACCTGGGTTTAAAAACAAAATTTGTTTTAAGATTTTGGGGAAGATGGTCACATTTGTGTTTGTGGGGAGAAGATGGCCATGGTCATGTTTGCCATCTAATGTGGAGTTTGTGAATAGAAGCAAAATTTTGCCGAATGCCTTTGTCTGCAAACCGAATTGTAGACAGAAGTGTTCATGAACCGAGGTGTTACTGTATACATTTCTTAAGAGCATTGATACTTTCATCTTTATTCTTCAGTATGCTGTGTGTAGAATTGTGTTCATTCACCACAGATGAAATAAATGAAATGTCAATTAGCCAATCAGAACTTAACTATGTAGCCTTGGGCATAATCACTCACAAATTGCATCCTCAGATATGTTACAGCGCATAATGAGTACAGTGCTGCACAAGGACTCCCAAAAGAAATACTGACACTGTGGGGCCAGATAGAGTCAATGTGTGTTCAGGATCAGCCCTCCGAACCTCCTCTTCCCATTCCTTTCCTCTGTTGAGTTTCCGCTTCAACCGGCCCATTTTCTACATACTGTAATACCTTAGAACTCAGTTAATGACTTAAGGTGAATAATGATGGATTTGTGGAGTGCTACCAACCATGACTTAAAGTTTTCTCTTTCTGTATTTGAATGAAACAGAAATAACAGATTATATAAGGACATCGTTGTATAAAGAAGTCTTTAGACCCGAGACAATGAACAATATTTCTGTCAACATTTCTTTACTTATAAAAATATGTAGTATAAAATATTAGTACAGAAGGGTAGGGGAAAGGTAATAAGGGAAAGAAAAAATAGAAAATGAAAAAATGGAAATAAAATGTTTATAAATGGGGAGGGGAGGAGAGGGTGAAGGGAGGGCACAGACAAGGGGAAAAAATGAGAACCAAGACCTGTCATGTAAAGGTACAAGATCCCAATAATGAATGTAACTATACTGTATACCTAAAATGTACCAATAAACTCAATGAGGAAAAAAAATATTAGTATATTAAAATTATTAACATCACCTTATCTTAGAAGTGAAGTTCAAACTTAACATGTCATTCATAAGACTTCTAGTTATTCCATCATCTGTTGGCAGCACGTATATAGATTTTATGTTTGTGGAATACTGTATTAAGCAAATTGTTTCATTGACTGAGATTTCACCTTCCTTTGCCACAGAAGTTACCTCAGGACTGCACGCTGATTTTAGTTGTTCTAAAATGCCCAAGAAATATGGGATTAGAGATGTAGCTCAGTGGTGCAGTCCTTCTCTGATGAGTGCAAGCCCTAGGTTCAATCCACAATGCCTTGAAATAAAGGAAAGAAGAATATGTGAAAAATGACCGCCATGGGCCAGGGATTTAGCTCAGTGGTTCTGCCACCTGCTTTGCAAGTGCAGAGACCTGAATTCGATCCCCAGTACAAAAAAAAAAAAAGACTGCCTGCACAGGTTTCTGATGTAAGTTTTTTCTATTTTTAAATCTCTGTACAAAGGCAGAACAAGTCTGTTAGCCTTAGCAGGTTAGCAAAACAATCCATATCCTTACAAAAAAATATTTACCAATTAAATTCACCAAAAGCAGTTAACTGCTTTTCTTTCAAAGACTCTGAATTTGTTATATTTTACTTTTCATCTTTTTCTTTTTTGATAATATATCTAACATGTATTTATTAAACATCTACTCTGTGCCAAGCACTGTATTACCTCTGAAAAAAAAAATGATAAAAACTAGGCAAAGGTCTCGTCCTCATGGAGCTTATGTTATCATAGAAGAGAGAATAATTAAATACTGAGAAACTGAGTTAAAAGGTAACCTAGAAAGTACAGGCTTCTGTGAGATTGACTAGATCTATTTGTGGACATCAAATTCTTTCCCTCACAATTATTCTTTTACTCCCAATTATCATGTTAAGATTATTTACTCATATGTTTCTCCCACCTTCAATTCATATTTGAATTCTTTAGTGCTTACTGCAAAATATTCTAATTATAAATATTTATTGAATGAACATGTTTGATTAAATAAATTTTCAATTTTAAAAGACCATGCTGTCGTATACTAAAATACTAGCTAATAAGTAAACATTTAAAAATTTATCTTTCTTTCTTTCTTTCTCTTTTTAGGATTTACAAGGTCATCATCAAATGTACAGCAGATTTCCAGTTTTGACTTCACATTGACAAATATCCATTCAGAAGATTCAGTAGTAGTTGTTGGAAAAGGTAAAGTTGCTTAGCTTTTTTTTTGGTGGTACTGGAGGTGGAATCCAGGGCCTCACATATGCTAGGCAAGTTCTCTACTACTGAGCTACCTCCCTAGCCCATCAAAATTACTTAGCTTGTTAATTATATGTGTTCTTTACCCATAAGCCAATCATGTCATTGAAGAATAAAGGAGTGATTCAAGTGTCGAATGGAAAAATTTTTTTTCTTTTTTTTTTTTTTTTTTGGTACTTTTTTTTTTTTTTTTTTTTTTTTTTTTTTGGTACTGGGGATCAAACTTGGGTCCTTGTGCTTGGAAAAATTTTTTTAACTAATGAAAGAACTAGAGGTCATAACATATCTTCACATTTCTGACCCTTGACAAAACCTGGGTAAATTATGTCAGTAATTTTCAGAGATATATTATGTGACAGCTATTATTGAGGTACTCCTAAGGCAGTTTTGGGATAGCTATGATAATTTTCAAAGGATAGACCTTATTTATCATCTTAAAAGTCAGTGTAACTTAATTTTTTATATTCCCAACAAAGTTTAAACAAGACCTCTTGAGCCTGGTGTGGTGGTGAATGCCTGTAATCCAAGCATCTGGCAGCCTAAAGAAAGCAGATCAGTAGGAGTTCAAGGCTGACCTGGGGTACATAGTGAGTTCAAAGCCAGCCTGAACTATATAATGAGATTCTGTCTCAAAACAAACAAACAAAAACAACCAAACCCCTCTTACCTGTTTTAGGACCAGTGGTAGATCTTTGGAAACATTGCAACTACTTTTTAAAATTAGGTTCTTTTGGGCCAGAGATTTAGCTCAGTGGTTCCTTTGCCCACCTTGCAAGCACAAGATCCCAAGTTCAGTGCCCAGTACCAAAATGAATAAATATAATTAGGTTCTTTTTTGACTATAGAATATGATAATATGTGTTGAGACCATATGTTCTTTTTGTTCAAGATAGGGAAATTCCAGAATAAAATTCCTGGAAATTTATTTGTTTGATAGTTGATTAGACCTTCAGATTGGCTCCAGCCTGTTCTTGCAGTTGTATTTTCTGTTATTTCTCTTTATTTTCTGTGCTCAGACTCATGCTTTATATTTGTTCAACTGTGCATATACATAATATCATCTCATAAACATTCTTTCCACTTTCTTTTCTATCCAAATCCATTGTTATTTCTAATCCCAGCTCAAACCCATGCTTCTTAAAATTGTTTAAATACCCAGTTCACATCAACCTTCCTATGAACTCCATGCCTACAATATGAAGATCTCTCTTGATATTATGAACTACTTTCTGGACCACTTTTATTGTTTCTTAGAGGTATTTGTTTGTGTATTTTATAAATAGTTAACATGTCTTTCTTATTTTATTGTTTTATTGTTTCTTGAATATAGTATCCTTGTCTTAAACTTTGTTATCCACAATGCCATCACATAAATACTTAATGTCTGTTCCACGGTTGCTTGATTGCAGGTGTTTTTGGAAATCCAAATTCAGCACCAGCAACCTGCAGCCAACCAGTGGTGCCTTCTGTGGAAAATGGGGATACTTTTTCAGTTAAAGCAAGTATTGAACCACCATCGGGGATTTATGGAAGAGCAGTCCAACAAAGTATTCCATCTTATCTTGATGTTGAAAATGACAAAGATGTAAGACTACTTATTAATTACTAGGATAAGTTTAAACTTATGATATGTCATTATTTAATGTATATCAGATGTGGGATGGTAAAAAATATTCTGATTAAAAAATTTAAAATTTGGTGGAAAAGGAATTTCTGATCCTTAATTATTTAAAAACAGACTATTCTCCTTTCCCACATAAATGTTTTCTCATTCTAGTATAATGTACATTGTGTGTGTGTGTGTGTGTGTGTGTGTGTGTGTGTGTGTGTTTCTAGGTGTATGTATTTGGCAGTTTTATAGAATACATTCAGGTAGTGACAGGCTGATATCCTGAGGCATAAATTTAATTAGATATTGACACTGTGTAATTCTATTTTAGGATTACTAAAATAAAGATGAAAATCATAGAGTTCATTTTTATAGACATTTAACATATGTATAGTTATCTGAGATGAAGATATTATAAATATCCAACTCCCTGAATACTTCCAGATATTTCAACTTTTTCATGCAGACTAAAGTTGCTATGTCAAAATCTACATATGACAAGATGAGACAAAAGAGAAAAGAAGAAAAAGAACTTTTTGATGTTAAAGATTGTGAAAAGAAAGAACAGAATCCTTGGGAACGGATGAAACATATAGGAACTGAGAAAACAGCATCAGAAAGTAAGTGGGATTTATCTTTTGATGTGTTTTTTTGGTCTAGTAATACTCTAAGCTGGCGTAATATGATTTAACTGCTGGTGATAGGTGAGTAGGAGTTGTGCCCAGATCGCGATATCCCAAAGACCACCAAGGAGTCGAGTCCGATGTAATCAATCACACGAGGGGTTTATTGCAAGCTCGAGCCTGTACTCCCGGGCCAAGTGCCAAGTGGTTTCTTACCAAGAGCCCCATACCCGGTTTCAGACAGGCTTTTTATCAGCAAAGAAGCAGAACTAGGGGCTTTCTAGATGGGTCAGTGCCTGATTGGTTAACATTTTGAAAATGCAGGCAGGACAAAGGTCTGCTGACTTGAGCTGGTGGTCAGCAGTCACGTACTTGGCAGTCACACATTGATAATTAACAGATACCTATAGGATGGTTCAAAGGCCACCAAGACATTCAGGATGAGCAAACAGTTTGACAATTAACTTGGGGTCTCTATGTATTTCATAGTATAGAACCATTAACTTATACGTTAATCAGGTTCCAGACTTGAAACAGTACAAGATTGCCTTACATTCCTAGGCCAGGGTTTGAACAAAGGTCGGAGCTATGGCTACAATGGGAGGGGGTTAGAGCACTGTCTCCTAGGCCCTTTGGCATTTAGCATGGGCTTATAATTTGGTCAAAAGGGCACTTTAGGGTTTTTCCAGTAACTGGGCAGTGACCTGATCACAAAATGGAGTCACTTTGGGCTCCACATGTGAAGGGATTGTGTTGACCCATAACACTGAAATTTGCAAGACCCAGTAGCTTCAATTATAAGAAATATTTTCATGAAAAAAATCATTAATTTTCTCACAACGCTAAATATTTTTAGAAGTGAAATAGGGATATCAAAAAAATGAATGATACCCTTTAGAAGAGATTGCTGTCGAGCTAAAATAAATAAACACTTCTTAGAAGTATAAATGACCAATAAATGCATGAAAAAAATCTTTAACATCTCTGGTGATTAAAGAAATGCAAATTAAAGCAACACTGAGCTTCCACTTTACTGCAGAAAGAAAGGCTATCATCAAGAAATTGACCAATAACAAATGTTGGTGAGTCTGTGAAGGGAAAAGGGGGTGAGAAGAGAGCCCCAAGGCACCATGCTCCAGAACATGGCTGCCTAGGAAATGGGAATTGATGTAAAAACATAGACCTTCTGTGTTGATGGTGAGAATGTAAACCAGTACAACCATTATGAAAATCAGTATGGAGATTTCTTAAAAATTAAAACTAGAAATTCTGTTTGACCCAGCTATTCCTCTTCTAGGTATCTTCCCCAAAGAGTTAAAGACAACATATTACAGTGGTACAACCATAATCCTGTTTATAGCAACCCATTTATAATAGTTAAATCTTAGAAGTAGCCTATATGTCCATCAACAAATTCATAGATAAAATGTTGTATTTAAAGAAAAATGTGTTTATATACAGTGGAGTACTGTTATGCCATAAAGGAGGAGTCAGATGTAGGGAAGTGGATGTACATTGATATTGTAATGTTAAGTGAAACACATCTAACACACATGCTTAAATGTTGCATGATTTATCTTACATTATACAAAAGTGCCAAATTAGAAATAAACAGCAAAATAAAAGATAGATAATAGGAAATAGGGAGATCTGCGAAAGGGAAGAAAACCAAGAGATGTGGGGAGGGAGGAGAAGGGGAAGAGGATGGAAAAGAATTAAGATGTGTTATGTACATGTACCAATGCCCCACAAAGAATATAAGTATTATGTACTGTAAACATAATAATAAAAAATAAAAATTAGAAAAAAAATGAAACTTCTATATTGTGGAAAAAATTAAAAAGAAAAGAAGATGTTGCCTTCAGCCGTCCATTGAAAGAAGGGGCCATTCAAATGAGAATAAAAAGGCAGATAGTGAACCACCAGGACACCCTGAACTCAAAGCACAGGAAGTAACAAAACAGATCAATCAGGCTCTAAAAAAATTCAAAACAGAAATAATTTCCCACATAACCATAGAGATGGTGAGCAAAATGAAAGTCGTGATTTGAGACTCTAGAGCAGAAACTGACAAAAAAATAGATGCTCTCAGGACCATGATAGAAGCCATGAAGGCCCAGCATAAGAAAGAAATGGAAAAAATAAATGCTCAATATAGGAAAGAAATGGAATCCATAAAACAGATTCAAACAGATATCCAGGAGATTAAACACTCCATTGAAAGTGTATGCAACAGAATAAAACAATGCAAAGATAGACTCTCAGATATAGAAGATAAGATTGCAGTCAGTGACCGTGAAAAGAGAGGTCTCTTAAAAACAGTAGGGGCTCATGAGAAATTGATCCAACAACTCCTAGATGATGTAAAGAAGAATAACATAAGACTGATAGGAATCCATGAAGTAGCAGGAGAAAATAC